CGTCACGAGAGAACCGATCGGGGCTCCCCTCGCAGAGCAAAGGGGGCAGAGCCCTCGGCCGCACCGCTGCCCCGGCCAGCCCGATGTTCCCTGACAGAGCGCTCCAGCCTCCGTCTGCCAGGAAGCGCGAGCACCGGGGCCGCGCCTCCCGCTCTGCCCCGCCGGCGGCACGGGGACCCTTGTCCCTCACAAAATACCCAGGCTGGTGCTGCACAGGGGAGCCCCGGGCTGAAAAGTGCATTTCGGCGCGTTCATTCTCTCCATCAGCCGGGCCCGAGCACCCTGAGCTGCCCGGCGGGTCGCAAAGCCGCGCTCGCATCTCGCGCTGCTCGGAGAACGGCTTCAGAAGCAGCAGGTCGGCCTGAACGCAGCACCCCAGAGGGTCCGGCACCCTCAGTCCGCTGCAGTCCGAGCTGCAGAGGCCGGCACAGACGGGTCTGGCTGAACGGATGTAGCTGAACAAGTCTCGTGCCCTGCCAGGCTCCTTTTCGGGCCGGTAAAGGTGTACGTTGTCCGGAAAACCAGCCCAGAACTTACTGCCATTTGACTTGCTGACATGTGCAAACTTCATCTGCCTTTTATTCCTCTGAGATCGCCTAAAAACCAAAATAAGTGATAATAATGTTTTACAGAAATAAAATTCTGGGCAGTTCCACTGCTGCTACAAATGGCAAAGGTGAGACTGACAGGAGGTACCAGGGCTTCCAGCCCCTGAGAAGCTCTGCCAGACCTGTGCCCTTTCCGATACTTTCAAGACAAGAGTTACAAATGGTTTTGTTTGAACAGACCGAGATGGTGATCCCCAGTATCTCCCCAATGGCGTATTCAACCTGCCAACCTTTCAAACCGAGCTGCCAAATGACCTTTTGGAAGAAAATTTTAATCCAGCTCTTCTCGTGTTAGATCTAAGTATTTGCTGCATAGATCAGGTGCATCTGTTGTTATTATACATTATTTACATTCGAAATGCCAACTTGCAGAGCTGTCTCAAGAGCTGATACATTGCCCATCACTGCAGTATCCAAACTGAGATAACAAAGTTGTGCTCTACTTTGCTATTTTTTTTCCCCTGTAAAAGTTTCCCCACCAATCCTTTGCCACCCTGGCAGCCCTGGTTTGGTAGGAGGAAGATGGGATGGTGCTGCTTGCCTGGGAGAACCAGTCCTTGTACCCCTGTAACATTCAGGGTAACTCGGAAGGCTTTCCCGTCAGCTATTTTTATGCATCTGCAGTGCTATCCAGCTGAGATTGGAGCTGCTCCCTCTCCTCAACCCAAGCCTCAAGCTTCTGTGGGTCCCCTTCTGCACTGGGTGTGATTTCTGGAGAGCTGAGGCTGTCTCCTCGCTCCAGGGACAGCCGCAAGGCAGGTGGGTGGCAGGAGCCTGCAGCCTAGGTTGGTTTGGGAAAAGCAGCAGCTGCTTTGGCCATAGGTGGAACAAAGTGACACGCTGCCTGGGTTTGGGTGGCAAAGCCCGCTGGCTTTCAGCTGAGAGCAGAGCTCTGGGGGTCCGGGTTTGGCATGTGGCTTGAAGCCATGCTCCGAGGCTGGACATTGCTCAAACTCTCCTTATGCCTGCTGGCCGGCTGGCGACAGCACTCCTTTTCCCCGGGCCCAGAGAGCCAGCAACGGCGGGCGGCAGCTTCGGGGGATGCCACCGGGCAGGGCAGGGGCAGAGAGCGGTGGGTCAGGCGCGGGGCTGTGCTGACCACGGCCCGGCACCCCCACGGCTTCACCCCCGCCCCTTGACCCATGACCCGCTGATTCCGCGATGCAGCTGAGTGTCGCTACGACAACAGCACGACCCCATCCCCGGTGGCACTAAGCGGCGCATGCACGGTGCTCACAGTCCGGCCCTGGGAACACCGGCGCGGGGAAGCGGCGGCGGGAGAGAGGCGTTCAGCAGAGCGCCTAGCGGAAGGTGAGCTCGAGGGGCTCCGGGGCCTGCAAGGCCAGGCGCTGCAGGAACAGAGTGCGTTTATTAAGAAAAGTACAGCACCTTGCGACAGGGACGGGCTGCGCGGGGCACATCACACACATACTGAAATGAAGGACTTGAGGCTCAGAGCGACACGGCACAGGGATCCAGTGCGGGGAGGGCGTGAGGACCGGGGCGCAGCACGTGGCTCCTCTCAGCCGATGCTCAGTCTCTCCCGGTTCTCCCAGAGCCAGGCGTGGTACACGTTTAACTTGTGGTCCTGCGGCTGCACCTACAGCATGGCAGAGGCATTCAACATTTACTAAAATACCTTCTCCTCAAACACATCCCCACGCTGAAGTGCGTCCCCCACCTCGGGACCCCAGAACTACCCACCCCCCATGAACGGGAAAGGGGTTCCACACAGCCCCTTGACTGCCCCTCACAGCCACCTGCCATGGGAGGACCCCAGGACAGCAAAGGTGTCCCCAACACCAATCTCTGAGGGATGCCAGGATTTAGCGGGCAGGAAATGTAGGGCACCGGTTCTTAACGGGAGCCGGGAAAAGACTCACCCTCACATCAAGGAAATGAGAAGAACCCCACAGTGAAAGCAGAAAACCACAGGGGAAAAAAAAAACAAACTATCAAGGTGACACTGACACAACCTTCATTTACAGGATCAGACTTGTAAATGGGAATTCAACCGAGGATATAAAAATTACTTTTCTTTTTAGTCCACAGGTACAAGCCCAACGATGCCAAAGGACAGAGCCCTGTTGCTGGCACCGCGATGTGGACCGAGCCCTGGCAGCATGGCCCCATCACCCACCTCCTTCCACTCGTTGACACAGAAGATTCTGTAGGAGTCGTTCCCGTACTTCCCGATCCCGTGCAGCTCGATGGGGTACTTCCACTGCTTGTTGAGGTACTCATCTGCAACGTACGGTCAGACTTCACTGCCTGCAGGTGGCAAGTCACAGAAAGCAACCCTGGAAAAATCCCGATTCTCTGCCATTGTAACGCAGCTCCACTTTGGCACATTTTAAATGAAAAGCACAAGTTTTAGCTATTTCTGGGTAAAAGTAGGCAAGAATCCCTATGTGGGATATCTTAAACACCCGTTAAGCAAACAACTGAGGGTAAGTTTTAATCAAATCTCTCTCCTCCAAACCCACAGAGGAATACTTTTCTCCTAAGCATAAAAAACTCACTGTCTGTGTTATTTTGTTCTCAGTTAAGACAACAGGATCAGCAGCTTTGCCTGTCTAAGACGAACACATCCCAAGGCTGCGGAAGATAAACGGCCGCCACTATCTGGCAGACAGAAGGAAAAGCCAGAGCGCGCTCTGAAAACAACGCTGTTTGCTTTGCCAGTATCGTTCAGACCATTCCAGGGGCGCATTCAGGAAGACCCACCCGAGAACTTGATGATGGTTTTCGCTCTGAGTTCGTAGAGGCCGAGAGGTCTGAGCAGCTCGGACATTTCTTTCCAGTCTGCAGTCCTAGTTATTTCAGGAGAAGGATATTTCCTAAGGAACTCCCAGAGAACAGGAATTGCCATTTTACCTAGTGAAAGAAATGACCATGAACAGAAGACCATGCAGTCTCTTTTTTCACTACCTACGTATGCTTTTTGAAGAGAGCTGTTTCCCAGGCCAGAGTTACAGGTTAACACACATTCAGTCTTTCGTTAACGCCTTGAAAACACGGCGGCTGTTCTGACGCCGTAACACCACCCCCGCGTTTACGCAGCGTGAAGTTGTCTTACCCTACTTACCTGAAGTTTTATTGAGAAATATGGTTGCAATGAGAAGTTTCCATGGATCATGGAAAAGCGTTTCTTGGACCAGATTAAAAGGAGAACGCGGAGGGGTCCATTTCCTGAGGGCCTTCCTTCTGGGTGGGCTGGGAGCTGCACACAGAGGCAATACAGACAAATGTATTGGGCAGTAAAGGATGGATTTACCTATTTAAATGGAAACCACTGAAAACAGGGAAGACTTTCTGAAGCACATTCCTCTTTGGAGGGGCGGCAGGGGGACACTATATGTGGATGGAGCAATGGAATTCTCACAGAAACCTTACAGAACTGCACGGGACTATACGAACCCTGGCAGAGACTGCAGCGAGGGTCCCGGCTGCGCCTGTGTGCCCCACGTTCCACGTATTTTCTGTGGAGAGAGGCCCTCCCTGGCTACCACCATGCTCCTGTCTAAGTGCAGAGCAGCAGCCGCAGGGTACGGGGCCTCCCCCTGACAGGAGAAATACCTCAGCGGTCTGAACAAGAACTTCCCCAAAGCCCATTCAACCCCATCCCCTCACAGCTGCTGAAAGAGCTGCCAAGGCATTTGGTACCAGCCTTAGTGGCTGTTTGCAAGATACAAACTGCCGAGGTGTAAAACAGGCCACGATCAGCACTAGTGCAGGAGCCTCAGCGCTCTGATGCCAGCCTAAAAATGGCAGAGACTTTCCATCACATCACTTCATCTTAGCCCATCCTATTCCTCCTCCCATAAAAAGGGATTTATTTCCCTAAGGGGTATTATACCTTCTTTGCTGTATTTACTTGAAAAGTACGGACTTGTTTTCCTCCTGTCCACTTGTGTTCGTGGGATAGGTTCCTCTGGAAAGAAATAATACTTTAGCATTAAAAAGAAAAGACACAAGTATTTTGCTGTCACATTTCATACACCATTTCCACTTTATGTTGTATTAGAAATACAAGCATTTCTTGTAGGTGTATAGAACATAAACGTGCTTTAGATTCAGAGAATCTTTTAGGTTGGAAAAGACCTTTAAGATCATCAAGTCCAACTGTTAATGTAACACTGCTAATATCACCACTTAACCAGGTCCCCAAGTACCTCGTCCACACTCAACCGCTTCCATGGGGAGCCCGTTCCAGTGCTTCACAACCCTTTCAGTGAGGAAATTTGTCCTAATCTCCAACCTAAACCTCCCCTGGCACAAGCTGAGGCTGCTTCCTCTTGTCCTATCACTGGTCACTTGGGAGAAGAGACCAACACCCACCTCGCTACAGCTGCCTTTCAGGTGGCTGAAACCACCCAAAATCCACTCCAGTACTCCTCTGTATTTCAATTCTATGGAAGAATCTTTGGAAGATAAACCGCTACTTTGCCATAGTCTGAGGAAACAGAATCACAGAATGGTTAGGGTTGGAAGGGACCTTAAAGACCATCTAGTTCCAACCCCCCTGCCATGGGCAGGGACACCTTCCACTAGACCAGGTTGCTCAAAGCCTCATCCAGCCTGGCCTTGAAGACATCCAGGGATGGGGCATCCACAGCTTCTCTGGGCAACCTGTCCCAGTGCCTCACCACCCTCTCCGTGAAGAATTTCTTCCTGATATCTAATCTAAACCTCCCCACTTTCAATTTAAACCCATTACCCCTTGTCCTGTCACTACAAGCCCATGTAAAAAGTACCCCCCAGCTTCCTTGTGGCCCCCTTCAGGTACATTCCAGCACATGAAACAAGCTAACACAAGCCTTTTTTACCAATCAAACTGACCAACTGCGCAACAACGTGAGAAGAGTTACTGCAGCGAAGGTAATCGCATTACATTATACTGTACAGCTACAGAGATGAGTAAAGTAAGTGAATAAACCCGCCCCAAATTAATGCTGTGGGGTATGGAAACGAGACAGGTTCAGATGTCAGAGCAGCTTCACTCTGCTCGTGCCGTTAGGAGATCTGCCGACAGAATGTTAGGGTAACATTCTGCTCAAAACACACACAAATACCTGGCGGCATTTTAACTTCTGTGAAGCTTTTCCTCTCACAGGGCTGCGAGACGATAGCATCCGTGTCAGATTTAAAATCCTGGTTACCTGGATTTCTCCCATCTGTCTCTCTTCCCATTTCCAATCCATCAGTTTTCTCTTCAGATTTTGCAGCAGACATGTCACTAGAACCTGTCTCCACACATTCCTCCTCTGCGGGGGTCTGCAACTGGCCCTGCGAGCAGGCTGGCGCTGACCTCAGCCGTCTGCCTGACCCTGACATGGAAATTCTTAACCGAGTTTTTCCGGCATCCATAGGGTCTGCATTCTGATCCGCCACGCCCTGCCCATCAGCGAGACGGGATTTCTTGTTTTGAACACCCTCTGTTTCCTGTTTGTTACAACCTCTTCTCTGTCTTCTGTTTTGGGTATTATCTCGATTCCTCTTTTCGGTTTTTGCACTCTGAGCACTTTTCCCACCTGCCCCCTTTTTCTTGGTTTTCAAACACTCCTCTGGGTTTATGCCTTTCACGATCAAATCTTCGCTTTCCAGAGAGGATGTAACGTCTCCCAGGTGTTCATTCCCAGCCGGAATGTTTCCAGTTCTGGCCTCTGCACCATTCTGCACACTGAGGCCTTGCACCTGACTGTGAGAATCCTCATTCTCTAGAACAGTTCTCGCAGCTTTTGCGCTGTATCTTTTCACCCTCGAGCGGGTACTCCTCTGACAAGGAGCTGTAAAATCAAAATCTTCCGCTTTCAGCGTCGTCTCCCCCATTTTCCGAAAATACTCCGCAAGTGCGCTTTTCGATCTTATCTTGTTTCCTTCAGGACTGCAGCATGAAAGAAAAGTGGATTAGTGAAAACTTCTTCATTTTCTTACCCTTCACTTGAAAGGCTAATCTAGCATTTAATAAACCAAAACAAATGACAAAAATAGTTGGCAGGGTGATGTTTGGACAAGTTTTTGTGACTTGACCAAAAAAAGGTCTACACAAAGCCTTTACAGATAATCCTACTCATATTTTACACTTCACCTCTGTCCTGGTTTTGGCTGACAGAGAATTAATTTTCTTCATAGTAGCTAGTGCGGGGCTGTGTTCAGGATCTGTGCTCAAAAGAACCTCGATAACACTGACATTTCAGTTGTTGCCAGGTAACGTTTATGCTGAACCAAGGAGCTTACGGTTTCTCACAGAGCCCCTGCTCTCCCAAGCTGACCAGCGGGACAGTTCATGCCGTAAGGTGCCACGCTCAGTGTATAAGCTGAGAGGAGCTGGCTGGTTCAGGGTCGCTGCTCGGGGATGGGCAATTGTAGCATCACTTGGGTTTGTATATTCCTTTATCAGTAATACTATTATTGCCTCTCCCTTTGTTGTGGTATTAAACTGTTTTTATCTCAACCCACGATTTTTGGGGCTTTTTTCTTTCCCCGACTGGCTCCCCCATCCCACCCGGGGCAGGTGAGCTGCGGGGTGCTTGGTTGCAGCGGGGCTAAGCCAGAACAACCTCAGGAACCCCAGGCACGGCACACACGCGCGTCCCCAACCGGGAGGGGACGACGTGGCTTGTCCAAAGGGGGCAGCTTCGCTTCGGAACCAGCCTGCCGGCC